AATCATTCTAAGCAACATATGGCAATCTGCGGTCTTTCCTTGCACTTAGGTGGCACGGAAAGCCGTAAAAATCTTGAACAAAAGCTCATCTTTCAAACCGGCAGTCTAAATCCCACAGGGATCAATGAACGCTTTTCATTCCACTAATTTATTCATGTTTTTCTCGTTGCCATGCACCCACCAATAACGTAGCTCCATTCTCTGCCTTTAAAAGCACACACAACCCACAATTCCTCTATTCGCTCCGACGAAGGGCTAACGCTCGAAACGTCAGCTTTTGTAATCATTACGGTGGCCAATTTACCATTTCAACTTTGTTGATATATCCAAATTATATTGTACAATGAACGTTAACCATTAGGTTATTTACATGTTTTTCCAGCTTTCGAAACTTTTTTAAGCTTAAGAAATTTGGAAAATTCTATCCATATTTAGACTGAAACATTAGTATATTTATGAAATATTGCTATTTTTTCCATCATCTGTTAGACTTTTTTGTTTTGAAAGATAATAATACTACCACTAGTAGTGTTTTTTTTTTCTATAATGGTCTGAAGCATTCTGTGACATAATCAGAAGCTCTTGTTAAATTTACTGTCTACCAGAAATCACATAGAATTTGCACCATTTCTATGATTGCAGACAGAACTTGTGTGTACAGTGTGTATGACTTGATTTTGGCTTGAATACAGTAAAGCAGTCTGGTACCAGCTGATTGTGTCTCAAAGTGTTACAGACCCTCAAATAGAAGCTAGACATAACAAGTACATAGACACTATATCAATCAGTGACATTAACTATCGATTTTAAATTTAATCTGCTCATTTCACATGCTGCAGTAAAGGTTAAATTAAGGTTCCCTTGCTGCTAAAGCTAAAAAGTGTTTGAAAAAATACAGTTTTAGTGTTCCTTTGAACTCATTCCAAAACTGATGATTAAATGGAATGCGCTCAATACTCATTCCCTTGCTGGTATATACAACATAAATCGCACCACCTGGCACTAGTTACTCCCATCAATCCCTGGACTTGAGAGTAATATCTATGTGTCCTCTTAGGCTTTGGCTTTCGATCAACCTCTTGAAAAAATAACTATCAGAACAGGCGTTCAAGGGAGTAACCAGATATTTTGTCCCTGGGCACTTTACTTCAGAAAGCCCAAAGGGATCATTGTATCCTGGATCAACTACCTTAGCATCAGGTGATGCACCCAAATAGGGAGAATCTCGGCTGATAACAATTCCTGACTTAAGTATCTTAACAGGCCTTCGAATTGACATCATGTATTTCTGGTGCTGTTCAATGGCAACTGGCCCGTATTTGAGACCATGATTTGTATACCTTAAAGAAAAAGGTTTTGGGTCAGGTAGATTTTTTTACTAGGGTCTCATAGTTTCCTTTCCTTTCCCTGATAAGGCCAGAATTTGAGGCAGTGAACCTTAATTTTCTTTCAACCTTCCATTCTTGACAAGTTGACAGTTCCCGGGTTTTCCTTTCAATTTCGTTTAGCTTATCAACACCCACTTGTTTTTTTTCTAGTAAGCATCTCTCATCTCCAGAAATCTCAGTTGGTATTTGAAACTGTTTATGTGAAGCCCTGATGGGAAATGTGGGAAAAGCAGTTAACTGAGAATCATTAACATGATTTTCTGAATCGCACCTGTTGACAGATGAAATGTCACAAAACACTTTAAAGTTATCTTCAGTCACGGATAGTTGGTAACTGCCAAAGGATCCTGGAGGACTTTTTCCAAATTTTGTTGGGACAAGTCAGTTCTTGCTGTTATAATTTGTCATAAAGCCCTTTTAAGTTTAAGCTCTCTGAACCGTTCCAATAATTTTGATTCAGATGCTTGCTGACCCCTAAGGCTATTTCGGGCCTCATACAAAAGGCATTTCAAACTAGAGTGTCTGGATGATGATTGTTTGTCCAACTCTAAGTTTTTTTTGGTCACCACAACATCAATTCCATCACTGGTTGTGGATTTATACAGTCTACTCTTCCCTTACGATGCCACTGCTGCACAGTTGATGTGCAGATCCGTTTTGGCTGCATGTCGTCTTCGTTTTCAAGGTCAGTCACACTTTTATACTCATACAATGTAAACTTGTATAATTTTAACAAAAGAACCAAAATATGGTTGCAAAACCAGACCTGGCCAGCAACACAAGAACAAGAGGCATTCTTGACCCCTCCACTAAAAATGCACAACGCAGCTTGTGGGGAGAATCATTTTTTCTAAAGCTGATGGTACTGACAGCGCAAATAGAAATAAGTATTACCGCTTGCTGCTGAAAAGGTCTTTAGATATTCGTCATTCAAAAACGTTGTAGCTTTCGCACACTAGTCGGTACTGAGTGACTTTTGCTTGAATCCATGTTTTTCCATGGCTTTATGATATGATTGTACATCTCGGCACGTGTGAAAAAAGGCATTCGTTTTATATCGCCAGACCATCTATCCGAACGGTAATTTGGTTGCGGTGCATTAACAGTACCTGAAAAATTGTCTTCACTCGCCATTCGGTATTCTTTGCGCTTTGTATATGTTGTAGTTCAATTTTATCCTTGGTTCAAATTTTATTTTCCTTTGTTTCAAACTCATTATCATACATTAACATGACCTAGAACAAAGGAAAATGAAATTTGAACCAAGGATAAAATGGAACTACAACATATATATTAACTATCTGTACCGTATACCATACACACTGATACAGCATTGACATTTGTATAAAGAAACATTGAGAAGATGCACTTTGAGGAAAATAGTCAAATAAGAGTATAATGATAAAATTAACATATGCAAATAGCAGTCGGTTGATTTATTTTTGGAGTGTACCGTACATTCTTAATATGAGGCGAATGACATCTTTAGGCAAACTTACCCAAAAGACATGCTGTTTTGGTTGATATTTTACAAAATAGTGATGAATCTTATTTACTCATCGCAGAAAAAAAAATACAAGGAGTCAAAAAAAGAAGCATTGAGTCATTTGAAATTCGTTTTGTGTGCATTAATATCTTTTCCGGAACCTTATGGGGTATTTAACTGATTGAGTTCCAAACATAATAGAATATTTCAGCACATATACCCTAGATAAAAGAACTTCCAGAGTAACGAGGGTCACGGCTCATCTTAGCAAAAAAATAAGTATAAAAAAAGAAAAAAGTAGATAAATAAACGATTACATTAGCACACTTTGACTGTCTACTCTCATTACGTGCTAGGAATCCAAATTGGAGCAACGATAACCACCAAACATTTCCGTGCAGGACTTCAGGGTCACGTTTGCCAAGTTCGCCGCGCTCAAACACTAAGTCTGCTTCTGCATCTGTCAAGGGACGAGCGGCTTGTAGGCGATTTCTTTCACCAAAATCACGCAGTAACTGCCCTTTTATTGAGGAAAGAGCCTCTTTAGACAAAGAAAACAGCTGATTTTTCAAGACATTCGGAGCGACATTTTCCTAAGACTGCGTGAGAGGTGGCTCATCAATCTAAAAATGAGTGTCGCCATCTTTAGGTCGCAGATACTTAACTTAGAAACCTGGAAATGTTTTTCTTCTTAGAGCTGCCTCTTTATTTTAGAAAAGTTCACGAAAACTGAAACGAGGGTCGACGAATAATAATTTTTCTGCATTTGTATATCGAGCTTAAAACTTACCATATTTCTTGTTCTTTTCAAAACAATTTATACATTATTTTTTGTAGTGCTATTTACTGTGGCATTTTGTTATTATTATTGCAGAGAAATCAACTGAATGCTACATTCTAATCAGGCAGCACAGGGCGAAAATCGTAACCTGTGACCCATGGAGTAAAAAGTAAATGTACATTAACTAATCGTAAAAGGCTTTTCCGTTGTGTCTACGGTCCTCCTTCTAACAGGAACTCAAACTGCCACCTTGAAAGTCCGGGCAATGTTCAGCGTTCCCGAGAGCACTGCCCTCTGCATCTTTCGCAGTACGTCTGTCCTTCTGCCTCCCACCAACTCGCGCATCATGACATCCAGCTCCCGTAATCACTCCCCCGAGGGCATCCATGATGATGTTATATTGCTTCACCTCGTAGCCTGGGAACTGCTGCCTTAGTTCCCAGCGAAGGGGTCCGTACTTCCATGTCTTATTATTATTATTATTATCATTATTATTATTATTATTATCATTATTATTATCATTATTATTAGACTGTATTTATTAGGTCTGTTACTAAGACT